AATAGTTTTTTTCTATTCAAGTTCGTTTTTAAAAAACATGTTAATTCATTTTGTTTTGTTTTTACCAGCATCTAATTAATTGGTCCTTAAGCTTTTGGGGGGGGGGGGGGGTACTAATCCCCACCAGTTTCGTGCGCGCATTCACCGAACACTTCTAAATGATTCTATTGTCCGCACTGACCAAATCCGATCGTGCGACAAATGAGTCGGTTGGGATTCTTGACTTCCACCGAACCCATGAGACTGACTCACCGAACCCTTGGGGCTCGATCGAACCCAGATTAAGGACTACTGATTTAATTAAGAGTGACAAAGCCGTTAAAATTTCAAGTTTTTTTTATTTTATTTTAATTAATTATTTTTGTTTTTTACTAGGATCTAATTAAACGAGTAATTAAATTAGTAATTTATTTGCTAAGCTATTATCCCTTAAGCCTTAATAATTGTCGAATAACCTTTAAGATATTAATAATACATTGTCTAAAATAGGCCTACTTGGCTATTACTAAGGCGATAAAATTAATAGTTAATAAGTAGACCTATACCTAATATTATATTAGTTAATTGGCTATTGTAATTTTTGACCGACTTAAAAATATTAGTTAAACATTGATAATTAATTAATTGGTTTAAATATTTAAACGTACACACTTACCTCAGCAAATTTTAAAACGTTATACCATCGTGGTATTAAAAGGTCTACGCATGCGCGAAATGTTACTTAATTGTGGCAAACAAAAAAAAACAGAATCACCTGCTTTGTTTTGTACAGGTGGGCAGAGGCAGGTAGTGTCCAGAGACTGGTCAGGTTGATAGGCCAGGTTGGTCCTCTTTAACGGCTCACATCCAGCAGACGACGCGCACGTCACGTGCTCAGCCGGCAGCCAATCACCAGGTTCCATAACCCACCAAGGGAAATCATTACCCAATTCCTGACATATAACTTTCAAGTTCCTTAATTAAAAACTCAATCACAAGGGAGACGACTGCGTCATTTTGTTGCCGTAAATTAAAAACCGTCAGTTTAAAACCTGGCGTTTTATTTCGTCTATTAAAATTATTTTTGTTTACTAGTAATCAAATCGTTTTTAATTATCTTAAAAGTACATCTACGATAATCAATCGAGAAAATTTTACCAATAAAAATTTGAAGGATTTCTCCAACTTGTATTTAAAGATCTAGGTTAATTACGTAGACCTACATAAAATAATAATATCTAGTGAGTGTTAATTGATGGTCGCCAATTGATGCAACTTTGAAATTTAAAAAGATAATGTAAAACAAAATCAACACAGCAGGGTGGCTATTATTTAGGCTTTTAATTTCCCTTTAAACCAGGATTTAATTATACCTTAAGTATAAGCCTGAAGCTGGCTCTATAAATTATTACAGAAAAGGTCTGTGGCAAGCAGATATAAAGGCAAGCAGAAAGACAAACACAGACATTTTTTTTAATGTTGTAATTCAAAAATATTATAACAGAAATTTTAATTTATTTTTACTAATCACAACGTCATCTTGATTACCATTCGTTTGTTGTCTGTTAATTAAACATTAAATGGGAAATTAATTAACTCTAATTAATTAGTTGTACAAAGTCTGAAAATAGGATCCCGGGCACATATTTAAACACAAAGATAAATTATTTTCTAGATCTGTCAGTGCGCCGTTTACAGGTCGAAAGGTCATTTTAAAACTGTTAGTAGGTCAGGGAGCTGTGGCTTCTTCACAGGTATGTCACCAATCTTCACAGGTAGGTCGCCAATCTTCACAGTAGGTCGCCAATCTTCACAGTAGGTCGCCAATCTTCACAGTAGGTCGCCAATCTTCACAGGTAGGCAATCTTCACAGTAGGTCACCAATCTTCACAGGTAGGTCGCCAATCTTTACAGGTAGGTCACCAATCTTCAAATGTAGGTCACAAATCTTCACATGTAGGTCACCAATCTTTACAGGTAGGTCACCAATCTTTACAGGTAGGTCACCAATCTTTACATGTAGGTCACACATCTTCACATGTAGGTCACAAATCTTCACATGTAGGTCACCAATCTTTACAGGTAGGTCACCAATCTTTACAGGTAGGTCACCAATCTTTACATGTAGGTCACAAATCTTCACATGTAGGTCACAAATCTTCACATGTAGGTCACCAATCTTTACAGGTAGGTCACCAATCTTTACAGGTAGGTCACCACTCTTTACATGTAGGTCACAAATCTTCACATGTATGTCACCAATCTTTACAGGTAGGTCACCAATCTTCATAGGTAGGTCGCCAATCTTCACATGTAGGTCACAAATCTTCACATGTAGCCAATCTTCACATGTAGGTCACCAATCTTCACAGGGAGGTCGCCAATCTTCACAGGTAGGTCACAAATCTTCATAGGTAGGTCACCAACCTTCACAGGTAGGTCATCAATCTTCACAGGTAGGTTGCCAATTTTCACAGGTAGGTCACCAATCTTCACAGGTAGGTCACCAATCTTCTCAGTAGGTCGCCAATCTTCACCTGTAGGTCGCCATTCTTCACAGTAGGTCGCCAATCAAAGGATTGTAATTCGTACGGTCAGCATTATCCCAGTCTTTGTTATAAAACTGCCGTACGTTTATTTCCGGTGTGAAGAACTGGCCGTTGAAAGCTAGGTCTTATCGAATACGTCACACCCCATTTAAGACCGAATCACATTCTGAGTCAACTGGCGCTTGCAAACCCTCACAAATAAACTTCATCACAGATAGATTACCATGTAGTGAGTGGACAAATTATATAGCCTCATGATCAGATTTTCGATCGGAGGAAGACCTTGGTGTAATGCAAGAAAAAATTGGAGATCTGTGTAATCAGGTGAACTATTTCTAACAACAAAAGATCCGTTCTCGGGTCCCCTCTGAGATTTTAAACTAATTATTTTTTTAAACTAATTTTTGTTATGGTTTACATTACATCGAAAAGTTAAAATTATGTCTTGGAAATCAATGCGGATACGAAGTGGAATGATTCAGATATCGACTGCGCGCTCCGTATTTGGTTTTGTGGCTTCAATCGTTAATTTATTTCGTTCTGAAATTAGTCCAAATGGTTCGTCGTCTATGTACATTTTGGTACAACATTGGTTTATATAGTTTTCCTGTTTAGCATATTTGGTTCAGACAAATGTCCGTTTGGTTTTGCAATAATAATTTGTCCGTTCCTTTTCCCAATTTTCTCTATTCGGTTTGCTATTTGTCCATTCGGTTTGCTATTTGTCCATTCGGTTTGCTACTTGTCCATTCGGTTTGCTACTTGTCCATTCGGTTTGCTATTTGTCCATTCGGTTTGCTATTTGTCCATTCGGTTTGCTACTTGTCCATTCGGTTTGCTATTTGTCCATTCGGTTTGCTATTTGTCCATTTCGGTTTGCTATTTGTCCATTCGGTTTGCTATTTGTCCATTTCGGTTTGCTATTTGTCCATTCGGTTTGCTATTTGTCCATTTGGTTTGCTATTTGTCCATTTCGGTTTGCTATTTGTCAATTCGGTTGCTAGCCCGAAGATCTCGAGTTCGAATCTAGTTCCGGACTGGGGACGTCCCTGAGTCTATCCAGCTCTTATCGGTACCTGACTCACGCTGGGGAGAGTATAGACATCTGAGCATAGTGCTGACCACACTATCCTTTCTAATACCGATGTGAAGATACACATGAACTCTACTTCATCTGCCCTATGCATCTTTAGGACTGAAATGGAGGCTTTACTTGTCCATTCCGTTTCCGGATTTCGTCCATTTGGATTTTCCGGATTTCGTCCGTTTGTCTAGAAGAGCGAGTGATAATATTTAGAGTGATCTCCTTTGTTTCTTTTTCAAACATTTTATGAATATGAGAAAAAAAATTGTACATCTATTCGGAATGTGTGGAATAACCTCCACGCTTATTCGGAATATGAGCAAAAAATTGTACATCTATTCGGAATATGAGCAAAAAAATTGTACATCTATTCGGAATATGAGCAAAAAATTGTACATCTATTCGGAATATGTGGAATAACCTCCACGCTTATTCGGAATATGAGCAAAAAATTGTACATCTATTCGGAATATGTGGAATAACCTCCACGCTTATTCGGAATATTTGCTTGGACGTCTACACCAGACGCTAGAGAACATTTGTTATTTTAAAAATTCAGTAGGCCCCTATTAAAGGTTTGAAAAGGGGGTGCATTATTTGTGTTAGCCGGCTCATTAAAGACAGAGCATTGATTACACACCACACTGCAAGAGCCATCAAACAGCAGCAGACAAACACAGACGGGATTCACGTTTTTCACGGTGCCACTCTATTCTAAATGTAAGCAGAGCAGTAAAAAAAAAACTGGACAAACAAAAAACTCGTCTCATGATATCACGTGATCACATCGAGAGTGAAATCAAATATCAGAAGGAAGGCTTCAGTAGAAATTAGCCCATAGCACAGTGATCCACGAACAAAGCCACTACATTTACATGGTAGCTAGCGATTCTAAATTGTAAACATTTCAGCCAACTAGAAGACGAAAATAGCCTCGATGTTTGGACTAGCCAGACTATTCAACCCTCTAGATCCACACAGATTCCATGCATCTGAAATATTTTTTAGTCTAGACATAATATTCTTCTGGTGTTCACGTCATTTAAATTATGATTGATTCCTAAAACATATTTTTTAAATCTTAATCTATAGGCCCTAATATTTTCTAAGATTCTAATTAATTATCATTAATTATACTAAACGTTAACAACTGGAAGCTAATTAAAAATAAAACCAAAACAAATTTATTTTGAAATGGAGTTTTTCAAGATGACAAACCAAATCCATGTTGATGATGACAACTGATGTTAAACAATTTTTCTTGGTGTAACAATGCTAAATTCTTCAAACGTAACATTTATTTGTACAGGAGTATAAAATACAGTATCAAAAGTAAACAGATGTAGCAGTTTAAAATGGTTACAGAATACAAAATTAGAATTTTTCTAAAAAAACAGGATGTTGACAAATACAGCCCGTAATGACTCAAAATAAAAACTTCTCTCTTAAATTAGTGGACAATATTTACTGATAATTTAAGATTTGTAAATACATTTCAATAAATTATTGTCACAGCTGACCAAGTATTTGCAAATTATCTCCTGATTAAAATGGACAAAACGGACCAGCCAATCAAATTCTTCAATTGACAATACTGTGGGCAGCAGTGGTCAAACCTTTAGGCACTGACCACTTTCAAATCTTTACTTTAGTGGTTCTATTTTAATGAATACATAGTTATTTAACAAAACTAAGAAATATTTTCAAGATTTAAATTTGAACTCTCTACCACAATGCCAAAAACTGGATAAGGACTATGCAATTTTCATTTACTTCAAATGTGTGATATCTATATAGAGGGATGGTTTCTTCCTTCAATAAATTGCAGATTAATATTGTCAGACAATATTTTATACATGCTGTTTTTAGAAGCTGCAACCATTAATTGAGTTTAAAAAAATAAGTTTTTATGTTGTTTTTTTAAGTAAAAACTATATTATCAACATTAAAAATCTTTTGGGGCTTTACATTTTTGCGGTAAAAAAAAAATTGACTGAAAGGTGATCACAGACAAAAATTATTACAAAACTGCAACTGGCTCTCGGTAATTAATTGTAATCAATTTCTTAACATAAGATCAAATTAGGTCACATCGTGCAGTTGAACTCCTCCTCATTGATGATGGTGACAGTGTGATCTGCCCTGCGTGGGTGCTCCCCCCTGATCTGCCACTCGGGCACGTCGTCCCCAAATATGGGAGCGTAGTAGTAATGTCGTCGGAGCATGTAGCCCGTCTGGCTGAGGTAAACCTTCCCATCTACCACGTACGTGTGTATGTCGCAGTTGGGTTCCAGCAAGCGGTTGCTGTGGAGGTGTTCAGCATACGCCTGTGGAAGTGTGACGTAATGTCTTCAACTTTCACTTTAAAATGTAGTCAGGCATGAGATGTAATTAAATCTGACAGGATTATTGATGCATGAAACATTTTGTTTTAAAAAAAGGAAATTTGTAATTAAAAATTTATTATTGTTTATAAATATTTTTTGTACGTAGTCACTAAGTGAAAGTTAAAAATTGTACAAAAATATATTATTTAAAAAGTTCATTATCAGACAGTACAAACTAAAGAGGTTTACAGTAAAGAACTGACCATACAAACAGTTTCATCAAAGGTAGAGTTTTACAGTAAAGAACTGATCATACAAACAGAGATTTACAGTAAAGAACTGACCATACAAACAGTGGTTTACAGTAAAGAACTGACCATACAAACAGTGTCATCAAATGTAGAGGTTTACAGTAAAAAACTGACCATACAAACAGTGTCATCAAATGTAGAGATTTACAGTAAAGAACTGACCATACAAACAGTGTCATCAAATGTAGAGGTTTACAGTAAAAAACTGACCATACAAACAGTGTCATCAAATGTAGAGATTTACAGTAAAGAACTGACCATACAAACAGTGTCATCAAACTCATTCCCCCAAATGTACAGCGACGTCAGTGTTGAGTTGTAGTTCAGGGCGTCGGCTATGCTGCACAAGCCTTTAGGTCCAATCTTGTTGGAAACAATGTTCAGGCTAGATAAAAAAATTCATCATTACCAAGTAGATTTAAGTTAACAGTTTCAATATATACCTAGAGGATTGATGATAAGTTTAAATCTATACCTAGAGTATTTAAGTTAACAAGCAGTATATTTAAAACTATACCAGCAGATTAAACTAACAGATTCAAGGCTAAAAAACCCCCCAATGATAATGGACATAACAAAATAGATATGGTAGTTAATCATTTTGAAACCCTAAAAAGTAAATTATTTATTCATGAAAAGTTATTTACAAACCCAAGTAAGTTAATTATTTGAAAATCCAATACAGATAATTAAAAAAAAAAGAAACAATAAAATTACTAGTTTAAATTAAAAATAATATTAATTATTAAAAAATATGAAACAAGTTCATCATTTTAAAATTAAAAATAGTGCCAATGGCCTCTGACAGATGCATGGCCCCATGCCCTGTAGGACTTACCCCTTTAATGTTGTGTTGTAAGGGCCAATGGCCACATTGTCCCCTAATGTCCTTTAGGACTTACCACTGTAATGTTGTGTTGTAAGGGCCAATGGCCACATTGTCCCCTAATGTCCTGTAGGACTTACCCCTCTAATGTTGTGTTGTAAGGGCCAATGGCCACATTGTCCCCTAATGTCCTGTAGAACTTACCCCTCTAATGTTGTGTTGTAAGGGCCAATGGCCACATTGTCCCCTAATGTCCTGTAGGACTTACCACTCTAATGTTGTGTTGTAAGGGCCAATGGCCACATTGTCCCCTAATGTCCTGTAGGACTTACCACTCTAATGTTGTGTTGTAAGGGCCAATGGCCTCTGCCAGATGCATGGCCCCATCATCCTCCAGTCTGTTGAAACTCAAGTCTAGCACCCTAAGTGCTGTGTTTAGTTTTAAAACCTTGGATAACTCTTTCACACCGTCTCTCGTTATTCTATTACTGTAAGGGAGACAACAATGAAAATTTGCATGAATTTTTAAAAATAAAAATAATTTAAAAAAAAAAATGATTCAGTTGAAATTTAAGAAATAAAACAATACAATTTAATACAAATGAAGCTTTTAAATGCTTTTCTTCTGACTAAATTTTACTTTTAAAAAAGTCAAAATTGATTTCTGGTCAAGCAGTACAAGCTATTAGTGGTGTCATGCTATAACTGAGAACAACAACATTATAACCAGATTTAACCAGTTTTTATAGAGGCTCTTTAAACTGAAGTTGTAAACCTACCAGCTATGATTGTATCAGGGTAAGATTGAAAACCTACCTGCTAATATTGTAAACCTACCAGCTAAGATTGTATCAGTGTAAGATTGTAAACCTACCAGCTAAGATTGTAAACCTACCAGCTAAGATTGTAAACCTACCAGCTAAGAGTGTAAACCTACCAGCTAAGAGTGTAAACCTACCAGCTAAGATTGTAAACCTACCAGCTAAGAGTGTAAACCTACCAGCTAAGATTGTAAACCTACCAGCTAAGATTGTAAACCTACCAGCTAAGATTGTATCAGGGTAAGATTGTAAACCTACCAGCTAAGATTGTAAACCTACCAGCTAAGAGTGTAAACCTACCAGCTAAGATTGTAAACCTACCAGCTAAGATTGTAAACCTACCAGCTAAGATTGTAAACCTACCAGCTAAGATTGTATCAGGGTAAGATTGTAAACCTACCAGCTAAGATTGTAAACCTACCAGCTAAGAGTGTAAACCTACCAGCTAAGATTGTATCAGGGTAAGATTGTAAACCTACCAGCTAAGAGTGTAAACCTACCAGCTAAGAGTGTAAACCTACCAGCTAAGATTGTATCAGGCTAAGATTGTATCAGGGTAAGATTGTAAACCTACCAGCTAAGATTTTAAACCTACCAGCTAAGATTGTAAACCTACCAGCTAAGATTGTAAGCCCACCAGCTAAGATTGTAAACCTACCAGCTAAGATTGTAAACCTACCAGCTAAGATTGTAAACCTACCAGCTAAGATTGTAAATCTACCAGCTAAGATTGTAAACCTACCAGCTAAGATTGTAAACCTACCAGCTTAGATTGTAAACCTACCAGCTAAGATTGTAAACCTACCAGCTAAGAGTGTAAACCTACCAGCTAAGATTGTAAACCTACCAGCTAAGATTGTAAACCTACCAGCTAAGATTGTAAACCTACCAGCTAAGATTGTAAACCTACCAGCTAAGATTGTAAAGCTACCAGCTAAGATTGTAAACCTACCAGCTAAGAGTGTAAACCTACCAGCTAAGATTGTAAACCTACCAGCTAAGATTGTAAACCTACCAGCTAAGATTCAAGTATGTCAGGGTGAAATTGTGAACCAGATTTTCAGCAAAACGACAAGCACCTAAATCTCGCATGTTAAACTTTTGCATGTGAAGTTCTCGTAGTCCTTTGTTGACCTACAGGGTATAGAACATGACATGGCGTTTGTGTATGTCATGTGACATAGTGCTTGCATATTTTAATTGATAAACTGAATTTCTTAAATAACTAAATAACAGTCTTTTTGACAACCTTTGTTAGGTAAACAGAATTTTAAAATAAGATTTCTTACTTGCATAACCCATGCCAAGCTAGAAAGTCCAGAAGATCTTGCACATTAAGCTTGAGAACCACTAGCAACCCTCTCCACCCCCCATTTCCATTCCCTCCACCTTAATAATCTGTGTGGAGAAAACCTACTACCCCATACTCACCCCAACATCCCCTGAGTAGAGTATCCCATCTACCATATTTCCCCCCACCCACCTTGACCATCAGTGTGTAGTACCCCACCCACCTCCCCCACCCACCATGATCATCAGTGTGTAGTACCCCACCCACCTCCCCCACCCACCATGATCATCAGTGTGTAGTACCCCACCCACCTCCCCCACCCACCATGATCATCAGTGTGTAGTACCCCACCCACCTAGATCATCAGTGTGTAGTACCCCACCCACCTCCCCCACCCACCATGATCATCAGTGTGTAGTACCCCACCCACCTAGATCATCAGTGTGTAGTACCCCACCCACCTCCCCCACCCACCATGATCATCAGTGTGTAGTACCCCACCCACCTAGATCATCAGTGTGTAGTACCCCACCCACCTAGATCATCAGTGTGTAGTACCCCACCCACCTCCCCCACCCACCATGATCATCAGTGTGTAGTACCCCACCCACCTAGATCATCAGTGTGTAGTACCCCACCCACCTAGATCATCAGTGTGTAGTACCCCACCCACCTCCCCCACCCACCTGGATCATCAGTGTCGTACCCCTCCTACCTCCCCCACCCACCTCCCCCACCCACCTTGATCATCAGTGTGTAGTACACCCACCTCCCCCACCCACCTTAATCATCCTGGTGAAGTGGTCAGTTGGTTCCTCCTGTACTGTCCACAGCAGTGGTCTGTTGACGTTGAGTGCCTTGAGCGTGTGGTTGTCTCGCAGTACTGTGGCCAGAGCTATCAGGCATTCGATTGTCTGATTTGGTGGACATTTTTAAGTCAGAGTACGCAAGTAATGATCAAAATAAGTAACACATTTATAAAATTACAACTCAAGTTTTGGTACAGCATTAATTGTTTGAGGAATTTAAAAACACGATAAAGTGAAGAAATTTAGTAGAAATCAACTTTCAAGAATGTAATGACCTTGAATCCTCTAAAAAGCCACTCACCAGGTCAGCATCACCAATGTCAAGGCTTTCTAAGGTTGTGTTTATCTGAAGGGCCTGGGCAAAGGCCATACCACCCTTGTTCCCCATTTTATTTCCATTCAAGCGTAAAACTTTTAGTGTGGTGTTGGTCTAGATAAACATTTTAACATGGGTATAATACATTTTCTATAATTAAAACAATAAGCTAAAATTATCTATATATAAATGTATTTGTGGTAGTTAAACAACACTGGTCTACACAGTACACAAAAGAATTTGTGGTAGTTACACCATTTTGTTGTCTAGCCTACACAGTACACAGAAGTGTTTCTGGTATTTACACCATACTTAAAAATAGCTTACAGAGTATCATAGTGTCTGTGGTAGCTACACCACACTGATGACTAGGCTACACACTGCGTGAAAGTAAAACACCTACCCTGAGAGCATGAGCAATGGCTACTGCACCATCCCCTCCAAAATCATTACACATAATGTTAATCTCCTCGATAAATTTATTTATCTGAAACAAAATAAAGATTGGACTACTATTTATATAGAGCTGAACAGCGAGCAGAGTAAAACTGAACATAAACAAATTCCTACTATTTAAACAACTTTTGTTAATGATAATTTAAAAAAAAATAATAGAAAAAATTTAATAAAAAAAAAAAGCTCATAATAAAAATCCATCAACCCTAATCACAAAACAGTGGACAAGAAAGATGGAAAGGATTTCTTACTGCTAGAAGTTTCCCGAGAATGAAGGCCCCCTTATCTGTGATGACGTTGTACCTGAGGTCAATGCTGCGTACAAATCTATTGACCTCCAGGGTCTTGTACAGGATGAGACAATCGTCGTCCATGATTCTGGCGGTGGTCAGCTGGGGGTGGTCACCTGCCAGGTACAGGTGCATTGATTCCTGGAACTCTCTGGAAACAGAAATAAAAACATGAGTCATTTCCAGAATTATTGAAAAAATTATTGATTATTTATATTTAGTTTGATAAGGATTAACAGGTAAGCTATTTTGTTGATATTCCTTAAAAAAAAACAACAACATATACTATTTAGAATTTAAAAATTAAACAACATAAAATATACACTACTCCCTACTTTAGCATGCTACTATTAAAAGAAGTTTTGTTGTTTCCTTTAACAATGCTCAAATTACTGATAATCATGTTTTGTTAATCAGAAAAGAATACATAGTTTCATTACGTTCTTATCTTCATTAGTCTGATAATAACAAATACATATTTTTCCCTAAAGCATTTACTAATTTTCTTAGCTGAAAACATGTTTGTAAGTTGAAATTAAAATTGTATGTTTTCAAATTTCAACTAATATGTAAGTTTTGTTGAAATTAGATACTTCTCTCTAGTTACAAAATGAAACATTTAATGAAGAAAAATTCAAATACAAGTTTATTGAGGGGTACAGCCAGTCTAACAGTAAAAGGGAAACAGGTAAAAATGTTTAGAGATTATTGAATACAGAGGTGGAGCATGCACTGAAAATATCAACATTGAGAGGTGATTCATGACAGGGAACATGCAAAAATAATTCAAAGCAAATGTGGATCATGAGCACTATTAAAACAACTTTTTTTCACTAAAAATGGTGTGCTTTACATTTACAATATGTGTGATGTTTGTTATGATGTATGTGACATAACATATGCTGGGTAATACATGCAGTGAGATATATGCTGTTGTATGTGACATGGTACATGCCATACCATACATGATTTTTAATATTTGAAGTGTGTTGATGTATTAAGTAATAGATAGTCTGAAATATCTACATCCTAATTAACACTAGTAGAAACATCTGTGATGTTCAAAAAATCTAAAGGCAATAGGGTTAGGATCATGAAGTAGAATTTGAACAGCATGGTTTGTAGTACACGAATTTACAAAAAAAAATGTTTTTAATTCAGTTACAGCTAAGTGTGAGGTCTGCTGTATAAAATACTTTTCACCACCACCCATCTGTTAGGTATCAAAAACAATGTTTACATTTTAAAAACACACAATTATTTGATTCCAAACACAGCTTTATATGGAATCTGTAAATATAGATCACACACACACAACATTGAAAATGTAGATGTGGAGAAATGATGTTATTTATTGAAGTATAAAACCCTACACCATCATACATAGTTGTACAACTATAAACACAATTATTTTAGCAAGTAACTTAGTATCAACCACAGCCCATTACGTTGACTAACAAAAGTTGAAAACAAAATAACCAACGAAAAAAGCATAACCCACGCCTGTAACAACTATACTTACGGTTTACTTGATTTCTTGCTACAGGAAAAATTACACAAGTAAATTGTAATGTTGTTGGTATAGAGACTTTTTAAGCAGTTGTATTTGATAGGGAATTATCAAATATTATTGTATTTGTAAGGGAATTATTAAATGTGATTTCTTGGAAAATTTGATACTCAATATTTTATCTAAAATATTTTACAAATTCTAGGTAATTTACTAAGATGAAATTCTGATAGGATAATTTAATGCATAATTTGTGCATTAGACGAAACAAAAATTAATTCATTTTCACAAAGATATTCTTATAACATGTGATTGTAGGCTCTACTTTATACTTGTTTTGCAAAAGTTGAAGGGTAGATCTGACAGATCTGTTCTGTAAACTTACAGAACATTGTTTTCTTTTTCTCTTTCCAACATTTTGGCAATGTAAGCTGGTTTGTCCATAGCCAACTCCTCACAAGCCGACTCAAAGCTAATACACGTGGAATGTATGTCAGACATTTTAGACTGCTAGATACTGTACAGCTGATAAATATCTGCAAAGTAAATAACTGGTTTAATAAACAGCACATAGAGATTGATTGGAAAATGTTATATGTTTTAATCAATTGTAAATTAATTAATTAAATTTGAATACACAGGAGTCAGCAGAAGAGAGTAAATGATAGCAAGGAGTTTATTTTCTTTAACAGCATAGAAGGACTGTTTAGAGATATTAAAGGCCTATTCAAACCAGCAATTGCTATTCTTAAATTATTAAATAAAAAAACAATTTTAGACCCTTAAATTTTTAATTGATATACACGCAAGTATCAAATATTAAACTAAAGGGATTTTATCATTGAAAACAGTAGGCCTATATGCAAGTATTATAATTGATAAATGGAAGTATTCTATTATAGTCTGAAGTCTAATAAATTAAATACTCATTTGTTACACTGATCAAATCATAGATAACAAATGAAGTTAAAAATAAACATTTTGACCCTTTGCCAAAAAAAAATCTAACTTTGGTCAGCCCTAGGAGGTCATCCTTAAATGACGAAATACATTTTTTGATGATTTTTTCTACCTCCCCCCTTCCCTCCATTACACATTGTCACAAAAAACCAGACCCCCCCCCCTAAAATGACATCACACCTCATCCTACAACCCCTTTCAAAATTGCTGTTGAATTTTTCTTAAAATACATTCTTTTTCCAAAATCTTGTCTGAACTCTGTCAGTATAGAGTATTTTAATCAATTCCTATTTCAATTTATTAAAACAGTTTTCTAAAACATGAAATAATGGCTAAAATTAATTTTCTAACATTGCTTTCTTATAATGCTAGAGTGTGATGTCACACCGTCTGACCCCTCCCCCTCATCACACACCGTCACAAAATTAAGGACCCCCTCCCCCTACAAATATGACGTCATTTATGGATGACCCCCTACCTCAACTCAACCGAAGTGCCATTATCTCAAAACACTTGAAATTTGAAAATAGTTCTATGTAAATTATATTTTGTTGGGGGGGGGGGGGGTAGATGTTCATTGAGGGGGGAGGCCTCCATAACCCCGAAGAGATGCCTGGAAGTAACTCTGGCCCCCAATCTGGTATTTGACAGTTAATGCAACCCTTGGGCTGAAAAGTTTGGAGACCCCTGATAAAGTGATATAGTCTAAACTAAATAAATATTAAATACCATGTGTAGAGTTTAGACCTTTTAAATTAATAATTAATCAGTGCTGATCAAGTCACGTAGAGTGGTAGATAGGCTCACAGAGTCTAGAAGTCTTGATCCTAATTATCAAATTCTAAAGTTAGTTCTCATTGGGAACTTTGCAATTAGAGATAAAAGTGATTGATTCGTGATTGAGTGTAGTCATTATTTATTATTATTAACAGATTGATTGAAATTAAGTGTGAATGACTGAATATTTGATTTCATTTTTAATTACTTCTTACTACTACTTAGATCTACTGGTAGATCCCTAATAAAAATAAAATACTATTAGATTAGATTCTTAGCTTCTACTCTCTAAATTCTAGATCTAGCTAGGCCTATATATATCTGTCTAATCTGTATAAGTATATCTTTTTAATATTTTATCTAGATCTAGATTCTAGATTGGGATTCTAGATCGAGTACTTACAACAATTATTTTGAAATTTAAATAGTTTTATCACATAGAATTAGGCATATTGGCCAACAGATCTATATTATCATTGTTATTTATTTTATTGAATACAATATTATAGGCTCATATTGAGTAGAACTGTTTTTATCCTGTGGTGTTATTCTTGTTACTCGAACATCTAGTTTTTAACTTTTTTTTAAACGGAAGCATCTGTAACGTTGTGAAGATAGGACATAATCGAGTACAACTGTTGCAGTTGATGTTGTTAAAACTCAATCAGCATTTTAAAATTTTCTACAAGTGAAAAATTAAAACATGTAGTTGATATATAATGCATACATTTTATAAAAATAATTAAAGATGCTATTTGGTCCGTCAGCCAAAACTAGCGTATACAAAATAATTTGGTTATTCGATTTCGTAATCGATATTATAAATACTGTAGTAGTCCAGGTTTGCTGTTGCTACAACAGTAAGATTAACTTCCGAAAATATATAAATAAATGTTTCGCATTTTAAGTTAACAATTATTTTTAATGACTGCAACACATCTCAGACTTGGAAACATCAGTTGCGATGAATCTTTTGTAATTTAATTCTTTAAAAAGTAATAATAACATTACCACAAATTATAAATATTACTATTTTAAAATTACTAAGACTGTTATGACGAAACAAGTAAATTTATTTTCCTTAGCCCACTAGAATACAAGAGGTGATATTTAAGTGGCGGATTAATTGGAGCAGTGGAAGATTATTTGGAAATAAAAACCACAATCTTGCAAATTATCAAATTGTCATAATTAGATCTATATGAAAGCCTACATGATTTGCTCAACATTAAAAAAATAAACTACTAAACTTTATTTTGACCCTACGGCTAAAATTATATCGTATTGTCTACTTCAGTACTAGACTATGCACACACTTTCAATGTACAGCCCCCCCCCCCCCCGCCCCTGAATTACTGTTTCTAGTGTAAAAAAAATATGAACCGGCTACTAGAAATAGATAGCAATCATAGTAGCCTAATAATTTATTATTTGACCTGTGCTCACACACAAGCACATACAGGTGTGAAACAAATTACACGTGACCACAGACAATGGGGGAAGAGGGGGGGGGGAGAGAAGACGTGTGATGTGTAGTAAGTTGTCAGGAGGTCCCCACGTACACTCATACATTCACCAAATACGTTTTCCCCCTCATACTTGACAACGACAGACAACAATGAACTTCATACTGTTCTACTCGAGTCAAAGTCCATTTGATTCTCTCACGCTACATTCAATGACTATCTTCATTTGTTCAGGACCTTTCAAAGTTAAATCAATTATACAAAAGTACAACAATAAAACATAATAACAAGCACTGGCTTCCCTCAAACATGCATGAAACGTATTAAATTATATATAAAAAAACAACAACTAATAATAGATTAGATTAACATTATTTAAAAATTGTTGTTGCTGTTATAGTTTTATCACTAATAGCCTATTAATAGGACTTTGAAACTTACACGGTAGCAGCATTTTGGCTAAACGTTCCAGATTGAGAACGTTTAGACGTCATTATTGGGTGGGGGATGGGATTTAGATAAAACTCTGTTTTTAATCCCCTGACGTCATTTATGCACAATCACTAATCCATAAAACATTTACAGATTATTGTTTATGTTAATATTGATGAGTCCCTCATTCAGATTATGCGAATAAGTTACCCCACCCCTTTTCCCAAAATGACACAGAAAACTAAAATATTTTTTAGTTACCTTCACAAGTAGACCTGTATCAGACCTAAAGCCGTAAAGGGCAGTAGGACGTGACAGACACAGCGACTGCACGACGAATGAAACAAAACGAATGTTAAGACCTGCCACCACTGAGGAGTGTGGACAGTTTGTTGAGGTCACGTCCAGGTGAGGCCCTGCTGAGTCCTGTTGTGTGAGCTTGTTACGTCACACAGGTGAGTTGTACAGCACACCACACGTCCTCTAGGGTGGGGACTATATAAACCAGGTACAAGTCTAGTGAAGTAACCTCATCATTCACCTGCACATACACGTTAAATCTATCTTCGTTAAATCTATCTTCGATACAAAATCTAAACATGGACACTAGCACTAAATATGTTATGCTGGGTAGGTTGATCATTAATTCTTTGTTCTATGATTTAAGCCAATGCGAATAAAAACTTTGTAAGTGTTTACGTAATTTAAAGAGTGGTTACTGTGTTAGATTTGTCTAGTGAGCTGTATTAACCTACCACTATGGAAAAAGGGTTGCGTGGTTCACATTAAATTCTTCATCAAATTTAATTAGTCAGTTAAAACTATAATACGACGAGATACAATTTACATAGTTAGCATTGAGACTACAGTAGTGAGATAAAATAATGTAAATAGCACATATAGAGCTACATCTCTTTGGCATTTCTTACTTGTTGTAACTAGCGATGTTTTTAAATAAATACTTGTTCTGCAGATGGCCATGTCCATTTGTTTTGTCTATCGCCCCAAAAGCTTCACAGTAATTTAGCTGCCACTGGTCATTTTACCATAAATAATTTCAACTGTTATTGTTTCTTTACTCTCTCCATCTGATTTTTGTCAGGCTTTTAACCACACTATACTTGACATTACAAATGACAACGGTTTTTCTCAATAGGCTACTTATTAATATTTTTGTTATAATTTCTGTAAGAAGACAAGACGCTAAACCATAGCACTGTTTACAGTTTGAGTTTTGATGCTAATTTTTTGAAACGTTGAATAAGTTGAATATAATTTTACGTGCAGTTGTTAAACTGTAATAAAATACCTCAGACCAAAATGTTTCGTCCAGTCATTGTTGAAAAAATATATATAGCACCAAATCAAGGGAAAGTATACTGTGATCTACAACTGGAAACATTGTTTTTAATGGTTATCTCTCTTTGTCTGTTTAGCGATAGTTGCGGTCTGCGCTATAGTGACGTCAGCACAGGAAACAGAACCCAAAGAACAGGTATGTCATTTGTAAAACATCACAAGTATATAAAGATAGCGAAACAAAATAATTTAAACAAAAAATACATAAATATTAGACTTTTAGCAAGATTACACAAGAACAGCTAACGTGTTGTCAATGAAAATGTTAAAAATGTTCTTTCTTTTCCCACTTCCGGCAGAAGTCTGCAATCAAATGCCGGCGAGCAGACGGCGAGATCCCCAACTGGCAGGACCAGACGTGCAACAGCTACTACGTGTGTGAGGACTTTAACCTGACCCTGCTGACCTGCCCCACGGGCCAGGTCTACGGTCTGACGGAGAGAGAGTGTATCGACAAGTGAGTTGTGTTACATTATACTATGTCACTTTATACAGCACCTGATCAGGTCGCTTTATACATCACCTGGTCAGGTCACTGTAAACATCACCTGGTCAGGTCGGTTGATACATCACCTGGTCAGGTCTTATATTTATTAATATGGTACTCGAAATCAACTTCACCTGACTTATTGACTATTTAAAAAAAATGCATATTTGTTGAATAATATCTGCCACAGATGTGTCAAATACCAGCTGCTGAAATGTCTTTAAAGCACCCAGTCATTACAAGAAAGTTAGCTAAATTCTTTCCTGTAATTGACTGGTTGTTATTTGTGTGTGTTATAGTAGTGTTATAGTTGTGTTAGAATTGTGTTATGGTTGTGGTAGGATGGCGTTGTGGATGTATTAAATAGTATTGTGCGAGAGGCGGGTCTGATATATGGACATCATTTGGTTCTTCTCATCTTGCTGTTAAGGCTCTGCTTGTAGATCTCCAATCAATATCGTCCGATCGTCTTTCGAGAGTAAGCAGCTAAAGAATGAATGAAATGATGAGTGGGGTGTTGTGGTGGTGTTGTGGTAATGTCTTGTCGGTGTTGTGGTGGTGTTGTTGTAATGTTATGGGGGTGTTGTGGTGGTTTTCTGATAAAATTCTGTCGGTGTCAAGGTGGTGTTATGGTGTTATTGTGGTTTTATTGTGATGTTATGTTAATGTTAAAAAATGATTATGTTTTAAAATTATTCCCGTAAAGAGAAACACACACACACACACACACACACATACACACACACACACATACACACTGTCCCCTAATAGCTCAATGACGTCATGTAGCCGTGTCATCTCCACCCCCCCCCCCTTACGCCATATGACGTCATGTGGCTGTAACACACCGCTCCCCCACCCCACAGGTCTAAGATCAACTGTGAGGCCCAGAACGAGGCCGTGAGCCTGCACGTGAGGGCGTCGGCCGCCCTACGTCACGCCACCAACCCCGGCTACCACTTCCCCGGGCAGGAGGACAAGGAGGAGCTGCCCAGTGACGTCACGCGGGTCGCGGGTCTCTTCCACACCCTCACCTCCACCCACTCGGGTCGCTCCAAGCGTGCTGCCCTGCAACTGATTGGCATCCCCACCCCCGCCGAGTCTAACGGTAAGTAAACTTGTCCCCACCCCACTAAGGCTAACGGTAAGTAAACTCGTCACCCCCCCCCCCACTAAGGCTAACGGTAAGTAAACTTATCCCCCCCCCCCACTAAGGCTAACGGTAAGTAAACTTGTCCCCCCTCCACTAAGGCTAACGGTAAGTAAATTTGTCCCCCCCCCCCCCCACTAAGGCTAGCGGTAAATAAACTTGTCACCCCCACCCACTAAGGCTAACGGTAAGTAAACTTGTCACCCCCCCCCCCTAAGGCTAACGGTAAGTACCTCACCACCCCCCCCCCCCCCCCCCCGCTGTAGAACTCTCACCCCCTCTCCCTGTAGATCAAGCTAACATTAAGCAACCGCCAAGCAATTGTGCTTCTATTTTTAAATCGCCAAATTGGATCTCGAACTAAATTTTTAATTGAAACTCGAATCGTCCGTTTCATTAGGGAAGTAGAGCCGCTGAAATGACTCCGCGGAGAAACCTATTTTTGAAGGTCCCGCTGGACGTCTGGCTGAGTTTACTTTCTCCTGAACACCATTTGGGAGAATTACCTCCCCTGGTCGTACCTGGTGCTTCCCTCCCTGTCCACTGCCATCTATAACACTGGGCCACGACACAAAGTAAACATTGAGTAATTACGTCCCTTGCGACCTCGCTGGGCTGGGAAATGGAGAAAAGATAAGCCTAGAGGCGGGCTGCTGATGAGAGGGTTGGAGGGGGGGGGGGGGTGGGGCTCGGGGGGGTTGGGGCTGGGGGGGGGGGGGGTTGGTTTTTGAGCTGTTGTTTAAATGTGCTAATATCCACCAAGTACATCTCATTACATTAAAATTAAATTATTTAATCTTGTAGCTTGTAAGTTTGCCTAGATTCTTAAAATAGCGAGCTCTCAATTATAGAATGACCACATATGGGCTATACAGCAGGTTTAGGTAGTTTTTTAGAAGTTTTTGTTGACCTAATCTGAACAAAAAGATATGTAGACATTTTTATTAAAACGTGTGATTGTAGTGTGACTGATTTCAAAACTTGTAGTTATGTCTAAACTTAGTGACTCCCCCTCCCCCCACGACCCTCACCCCCAGGCTCCATCAACGTGACCCTGCCCGAGAGCATCTGTGTCCGCATCAACTACGAGACCGCCATCGTGGAGGCCATCATGAACGCCATCTTGATGACGGAGGCCGGATGCCGGAACGTCACGTGCGGCATCCCGCTGTTTGAGCTACACTGTGACGGCGAGAGTGACGACGATGATGACGAGCTGCCGGCTGTCAGCAACAGCACGCTGACAGCTATCAGAGGCCTGAACAGCACGGACAGCAGCCGGACCGGACCGGCCACAAACATCCTGGGTCTCGGTGGCCTGGATTTGTCCGGTTCCGTTAGGGACAACAGGAACAGGAACTCGGGGAACACTGGGAACTCAAACTAGTTTTGTTAACATAGATTTTGTTTTTAATTCTATAAATTTGTCAGATTAAAAAAATAAATGAATAAAAGTTAAAAAATCGGCACATGAAGATATCTTAAAATACTTAGTAAACAATAAATACTAAGATGTAAATTTTTTTTTAAATATAAAAAAATTAATATACTGACGGAGCAATAGGGCGTGTAATTAGGTCACAAATTTCTTGTTCTCGTACTTGCCAGCTAGTATTTTTCAAACCAAATGTGAATATTTTTATTAAATCGGTAAAAAATAAATAATAGAAAAGTTACTTCCGCTAAGTTATTTAAAATCGTTCTTTTCTAAAGCTAGTCTACATCGTGTTCACGATTTTACAAGATGTATGCTAGCTTTAAAAAATATATCTTTCGTAAAATTGTGATTTCTCTATTTAAAGAAGTGTACAGTTAGCAATATTAATAAAATAGAATATTAATATAATAGGCCTAATGTTAATTGGTTCTCTTATCAGTAAAAATGTTATAATTATTGCATTGTGGGTATTTTTCGTGTTTTGAAATCTTAAAGTGAGGCATAGAAACAAATAGCCGCCAAGTTTTTTGTTATCAATGGGAATCATGTTCACAACAAATAATTTAGTTTGAAAAATTTATATTTCTCCCTGACAAACGCGATTTCCTTTTTTTTTAAAGCGAGAGAGACCGAGACTTACAAGCCCTATTTTGGTGGTTAGAAAAATATACTGTTTGGTTTTAGAGTTAACTAAACATATGAAGAAATACAACGGAAGATACTTTCGTGTTTTTAAATTGAGTAGCATGCTATGCTTCGGATTAAATTGTATCTTTCCAAACTGAAAGATGAGTTAGTAGAAACAATTAATGTTATTATCATAGGCTTACATGCTCATTCTGTAATGTGTTAGAATTCAAGTATATTAAAGAAATATGTTGACTTGTTTACAGTATACCGCGTCATCCGTTTCTGTGTGATCTGTGAGTTGTGACCAGTTAGTTGACGACAGTTAAACCTGACCAGTTTTTAGCCCTACACCCATGGTTAGCTTTGTGACCAAGATTAACTTGACTGGAATAGAAAACTTGAAAATCAGGTGGATAGTGCTTTAACGAGTGATGACTTTACAGCCGTAGATGAGCATAGAATTGGTTAAGTCAGGGATGGATCTACAAAGTAAACTGTCATAGTTTAACATAGGATTGGTGAACTCAGTGTCAGACATCACAAGTTTACAGCTATAAGTTAACGTTGTATTGCTGAAAAGCAGTGCATACAATAGAAAAAATTACATAAAAAAGACAAGCCCTAGGTGGAAGTAGTTTTGTAAATACAACTGTCATCTAAATTTAATTTACTTTCTAGTCTTTTATAAACTAATTAGATTTATTATCCCCAAAACACGGACTAGCATCAAAAAACAAAATAATTTCTTAATGTACACTTTAGAACTGTTTGTTGAATTTGATAACATTTAAAAAGTATTATATTTATTAATAGGCATCTAATGAAAAAGTATTAATACAATTTTGTGTTTAAAAGTTCGATAATATAACACTGTTTTTTTTTAATATGCACAAAAACGAAAAATATCGATACAATTTAGTTCAAGTTAAAAAAAAAAAATTATATTTTGCATTACTCGTTTGTTTCATCATTTACCTGATCCGTATTTTAAACTCCGTGACCTATATTTATAAGCGTAGTTAACCGGCCACCGAGGAACAATTAGCGCGTGAAAACCGGCAGTTAGGCTCTGGTTAGACAACACGGGGAGATCAAAGGTCGGATTAAAACAAAAACTGTTCAGGAACAATCAGGAATCCACGAACATTAACTCCTTCATGTCGCAATTCTGTACCGTCCATTTCCTTGCTAATTTTCGCGTTTCTCATCTTAAATAAAAATACTACAGACCAATCGCAGATTGTTAACTGCATTGCTATTTTCAGCCTGCTTTTCGCATTTCTTCATTAGCATTGGTTTAATTTTGTTTGTAATTGCAACAGGAATCAAAAAAATTAATGGTAGGCTATTTCAATTTTTGTTTGTTATCAAAATAAATTGTTGAAACATAAAATTATTTTGTTCTCTGTAGTTTTTTTTTTGTCCTTGTTTTTTTTCAATGTTGGGTTATTTTAAAAAGCTAAAAAAAAATCTAAATTAATAAGTTTTAGGATCAGTTGAAATCAAAATATTTTATCTTGATTTTAAAATTGGTTTTACAAATTGCGAGACAAAGAAAGTTTATAGAGAGCTTTTTGTAAGAAGAAATTTGTGTCTGATGTGTCAAGTAGAATTATACGATGTGGCATCAAATTCTGAAAATACCATCAAGTCAATGTGAGACCAGTTTGTCAACATTTTCTTCAACAATTGATGCAGGTGTTCTAATGCACCAACAATTGATGCAGGTGTTATAAAGCACCAACAATTCATGCAAGAATTTTAAAGCACCAACAATTGATGCAAGTGTTCTAAAGCACCAACAATTCATGCAGCAATTTTAAAGCACTTGTCTAATTTTTCTTATCCGTTTTATTTTGATAGCCTTCAAATCCTGAGGACGAAGTCAGATGAACTCTACTTCACACATGTTAGAGACTGGCAAATGTTCTATGGCTGCTTGAAACTTTCACATGTCTTATATAATTGTGTGATACATTCACATGTTTCTCTGGCTCTGATGTATTTTCACATGTCTTGTAACAGTGTGATAATGTCACATCTTTCTTGTGCTCTTTGAAAGTGTCCCAAGTTTTTGTGTCCGAAAGATACTCTTAAAATTTGCGACATTAAAAATTGTGACATTGAAAATTAACATGAGCTGATCATAGCCCCCCCCCCCCCCCCCCTCCCACGTGATGGCACGTCTGCCTAGATTTGAAAGATCTCGTTAACTGCCATTTGTTAATTAACAGCTTAGCTCAGCTGTTGATTGGTTGTCCCTGATTGGCTCAGGATGTCGGTGCAACACGCGAGCCGTTAAACTTAACTGGCCAAAAACTTTACACGGGGAAACTTGACCTCATCAATTTGTAGGACTTAGCATCTCAAGGTCATTGGGTACACACACACTCAAGGTCATTGGGCACACACATTCTAGGTCGTTGGGTACACGCATTCAAGGTCATTGGGTACACGCATTCAAGGTTATTTGGTACACATACACTCAAGGTTATTGGGACACACATTCAAGGTCATTGGATAGAAATACACTCAAGGTTTTCGGGTACACCTACACTCATGGTCACTGGATACAAATACACGTACAGAAATCAGATTGAAGTGTGATTAATTGATATACACAAATCACCAAAGAGTATGTTTCGTGTTTTCTAAACCATACTGTAGTAGTTTGCAGATCTTTGATGAAATAAAACTATTTATGTCACACAACTGTTAGCAAATTTGGTCTCGGATTGATCGCAGATTGACCAACAAAAACACAACTTTGTCTCAATTGAGGTGGCCTAGTTAACAAGTTGGGTTCGAACATTTTTGTTGACACTGATAAAAAAAGTGTCTAAAAACAATATATTTTGCAAGCAAAGCGGCCTTAAAAAAAACAACAAAAAATTCTCGAAATAACTAAAAAATTTACCGATTTTACTTTTAGTATCAGTGTTATAAAAGATGAAAATCCAGAAAACTTGAAAATATTTTTTTTTTTAGTTTTAAGGCTATATTTCTATTTACTTTCATCAAGCTTATTTTAAAACGAACCGAACATCATGTTACAATTTTAAATTGAATCCTAGAAAATGTCTTTGAGTTATAACTTGAATTTTCAATTTCGTAAGACAAACATTGATTGGCTGCACAGGAACTCAGTGATCGATATTCTGAGACCCTACTTCATAAAAACTCATAGTAATTTGTACTCACAACTATGCCAATACAATTTTTTAATGTTTTTTTTTAAAACCGCATCCTAGTTCAGCCATTTTTGGTTACATTTTATTTGATGAAAGATTTTTTTAAAAATTGTATTTGTAATCGAAAATACTAAAACATCAATTATAAAATTATTTTCAATCTTAAGTGAAGTCCGCCAAAAATCAAACAGGTTTTTTTTAACGATATTTCAATAACATGCACCAGCTTTTTGAAATATCCTATACACTGTTTCCAAACTATCCACGTTCGCCTCCATTTTGAAGAACAAAGTTCTTTTAGAATATTTAGCCCTTCCTTTTTTACTTCATTTAAAATTCAAATGAAATAAACTTTGAAAGACGCGTCAAATGAGCAAGATTTTATTATCTTTAATCCTTCGATTACAAAATCCATCCAAATAAATACAGTTTCAACCAGTGTTTCTTTCAGACTTTTTTCTCCTGAGGGGCACTTTAAATTTTTCGGGGGTTGGGGTGTGCGGGTGGGGGTGTATGGGGGCGGACACTGGTAAAAGTATATATTTTCTATATATATTCTATTTTGTTCAGGGGGAAGCGATGCTGAAAGAAACTGTTTGCAGCTACAATTTAGGAAGATTCTAAATAAAAAATGTGATACGAAGCTTCCGGCTTTCTTCTAAGTGCCCACTTCTATATAAGGCTTTGAGTTGAATGACCACACCATCCACACAGTTCAGTGGCTAGCTCTTGATGTCAGGCTGAATGTCCACACCATCCACACAGCTCAGTGGCTAGCTCTTGATGCCACAGGCACATTACGTTATTTTACAGGTCAGCGGTCGCCACTTTATAAGTTAAGGACTGGCACTGTATAAGTCAAGTGACTTTACTAAGCTAAGAGTCAGAGCCCGATTACTTAACACGTTTTCATGATATTTTATAAGCCTGTAGTTAAAGTTGACATTTTATTTGACTTGACACGTGTATGTGACATTTTAGAAGTCTGTATGTAAAGTAAGTGCTGTAAGTCTAAGAAAAAGCCAACAAAAGCATCATCACTTGATTAATTGATTGTTCACGTTTTTTTTAGTTGTCAAATGAACTCTATTATCGTGGTGATAGAGATGAATCAAAGTTCTGCAGACAGCTCAGATTTGTTTGACCAAACTTCTGCAGACGGCTCAAATTTGTTTGACCAAACTTCTGCAGACGGCTCAGATTTGTTTGACCAAACTTCTGCAGACAGCTCAGATTTTTTTGACC